TAGGGAAGGTGAGGGACATACGTGTGTGTGTGGCTGTTGGAGAAGAGGTGGAAGTGGGGTGTGTAGGGGGACGTGGATCTGTCCGTGTATGTGTGGAAGGAATATTTGTGTACATTTAAGGTATATATATGTGGGGTTTGTGCGTGGATGTGGACGTGCAGGGTGTGGGTCTTTGTGTAGAGTGTATTATGGGGGTAGAGGAAAGCGTGAGCGTGGGGGCACGTGTGGTGTATGTGGGCACAGATGTGGATACAGCGATGCGGAGGGAGAGATACATGGGAACGTGTGTGTGTGTGTGTGTGTGTGTGTGTGTGTGTGTGTGTGTGTGCGTCCATGGAAGGTGAGAGAAATCTGTGTAGATGTGTGGTGTGGATGTGGAGTGTAGAGAGGCATCTGGGTATGTGGATATGTGCATCAGGGAGACTATACGTGTGCAGTGTGTATGGAGTGGTGGGGGGATGTGCATATATGTGAGGCGGTCTGTAGATGTAGATGTAGGGGTCTGTATGTGTATGGGTATGTATGTGTGCTTGGCGGGGTGAGCGAGAAATAGATGCATGCTGGTGGATGCGGGCAGCGTGGACGGTGGACATGTGAGGGTACGTGGGTGTGTGGATATGTGATTGGCTAGAAGGAGTATCTGTGCATGTGTGGGGTGTTTAGGGATGTGGGGTGGGTGGGTCGGGATGAGGATAGGACACCAGAAAATGAATCGACTCTACAAAACTCAGCCAGGCAAAAGTCTGGAACCAGAGACCTGGCTGGAGACCTAAGAGAAGGTGTGAAGTTTGAATTGAATTTCCAGTGGCATCTCAACATTCCAGGAACGGGCCTAGGGACGCTGTGGGGAAGCCCCGGGCAGTTGGGTAGGGGCTATGGGATAACAACATTGTGGCCATGGTCATTAGCACCAGCTAGAGAACCAAGGCGGCCTGTTCTCAGCTCCTCAGCTTTCTTTCCTCCCTCCTTGAGAACCCAGGCTTCCTTCTAGGCACCCAGCAGGGAACCATACCTAGCACTCCAACCCGATAGTTGAGGGTGATGACGATGACGTTGCCATAACTGGCCAGGACGCTGCCGTCAATCATGTTGCCTGTCCCTTCCATGTAAGAGCCTCCATGGATGTAGACCATGACAGGCTTAGCGCCACTGTCCCGGATGTCTGCAAGGAGAAGGGGTGAGACACAGGCTGGGTAGGCTGCCCTTCCTCCCCCACCCCCGCCAGCCCTGGGTGGGGGGGGTGTGGGCAGCAAAGCTATCCCAGGTGCCAGGACACCACCGCCATCTCTGAGGGCAGGACTCATGGCGCTGTTCAGCCCGGAGCTTGAGCATCAGCCAGAGAAAGTTGGACGTCGGTGATGTTTTTAAAGACTCTGGTTTCAAGTGCCTCCCAGTAGAAGGCAGCCAGGCGTTCCTGATACAGCTAGGTCTACAGAGGCCGTGGCTGGGCCCTGGGGGACAGGGGGAGGGAGGAAGAGAAAGGGCAGGTCCCTTAGCTGGATCAGTGAGTCCCTGCCCCGGGCACCCAGGAGTCCTGGGACCTGACATGGCTTTAGAGAGCAGGGGCTGGGGAGCCCTGAAACCCCCAGGACTAGACCAGTTACATGGAAATACGGCCATTGGCAGCAGCTGGCCCCCCAGTGCAGACAGAGACAAGAGGGGCGGGAATAGGGCGTGGCACAGGAAGAGAACAAGGGAGAATGTGGGGACAGGGGAGTGAATGGCAGAGATGGGGTGTGTGTGTTGTGGCGGGGAGAACCTCACTGACATGGTTTCTCAGCCATGTGCTCGTTTACCCCATTCTCCCCGGGCATCAGGCAGACTTAACTGGAAACACTGGGGGTGGGGAAGAGGTGGGGGCAGAACTAAGGATGAGAGAGCCTGCCCCCAGGCAGCTTTAAGATGAAGATGGAGCCTCCGCAGAGGCCACTCAACGAGAGACCTTTAAGCGGCTGCTCCCAAGACCCGAGCCGTGCGTCGACAGGGCTGGGCGGCCACGAGAAGGCTCCCAGCCTGATCACCTCGACCTGAAGCCTCTCGGCCTGTGAGCTGGACCACACTCTGCCGCACCGGCACAGCCCTACCAGCCACCAGTGGGCCCCCCTGAGCTGTGTGGCCCCCAGGCCAGGTCTGGGGCGTGGAGGTAGAAGGGAATGCTCTCTGCTGCCGAGCAGACACAACATGTTTTCCTGAGGAGGAAGGAAGACTGGTTCAACCGTCACCCAAGGATCTTATGCCATCCATTGACTGGGCTGTGGCATCCTGGCCTCAGCCCGGTGCTTTGGCCCAGTCCTTGTGGCCCTGTCCTGAACCTAATGCAGCCCCTGGCCCTGAGGCCATCTCTCTCTTTCTGGGCGAAGGCCAAGGAGGTTCTAGGTGGTGCTGTTCCCCAGGCCCTGTGGTTGTCACTGCCTCACTCCTCAGTTCAGCATCCTGCTGGGCCCCTCTTCCAGGAGCCAGCCTCCCCGCAGAAACACAGGGGCTCCTCGCCATTCCGTTTCCTCTGTGCCTCTCCTCGCCCCCGCCCCCCTCAGTCCTGCTTTCTCTCCACTCTCGCTGCTGCACAGTAGGGGCAGGTGCCCATGAACCACAGAAGATGGGGGAGGAAGCTGTCTCTGGGCAGTGGGGACCGGGGCGAGGAGGATGCCCTCCCCATGGCTCTGCTCGTGTTGCCCTGCTCCCGCCAGCCGTGTCCATCACCCTGGAACTCCCAGTGGCCGACCAGGCCAAAGATGGATGAACAGCCCAACGGCCTCTTACAGGAACAGAAACACACCAACGGACGGACAGACAGACAGACGGGGCTTCTCCCCATCGAGAGGGGGAGGGGCTCTGTGCCATGCACCAGCCGCCACGCCCTGCAGCCCCCAAATACCTTCATCTTCATCCCCGTCATTATCCGCTAAGTCCTCGCCCTGTTTCTTAGCGCCGGATCCTGGGGACCAGACACGGGGAGACACAACAGCACAGAACAGAGAACAAAACAGAGAGAGAATTCAAAAACAGCATGACTGCAGTGTGGCCCAGCAAGCCAGCTCTGGGCCTGGGCCCAGGACAGGCAGGAGGGATGGCAAGAACTGAGGGAATGGGTGGGCTGAGGCCCAGACCTTCATCAGGATGATAGTGTTGCAGGCCCCTGCTGTGCTGGCCTCCCTGCGCCTCTCTGTCCCCAACAGCCTGTCTCAACCAACCACCTTCCCAGTTAGGAAGGAGGTAGCAGCAGGTGGGCCAGGGCACAGAGCCAGAGACCCACTCAGGGGAAGGACTTCTCCCGGGTGGAAGGGGCTGCACGTGTGTACACAGGCAGGCTGAGCTGGAGAGCAGAGGCAGGCAACCAAAGGTGAGAGGCGGCATCGCCAGCACGTGTAGATACGGATATGAGCTGTTAGGGCAGAGCCAGGGACCCCAGCCCTGAGCTATTCAGGCCCAGTGGGCAGGCTCCAGCTGGGCCTCAGCTGACCCTGATTCCCACAGGAGAAAATGGGAGATGAAGCTTTCCCTCCGGTCTTCCTCACTGGGGCCTGCTCTGGGTAATGGCAAATGGGGTTCCTGCCCACAGGAACCAGGCCTGAGAGCAGCAAGCATTGCTCTGAGATCGAAAGAGAGCCAGAGAGGGAGGGAGGGAGAGAAGGAAGGGGAAAAGGAGAAAAGGGACATGAGAGAGAGAGAAAGAGAGAGAGGGGGAGAGAGAAAGAAAAAAACAGAGATAGGAATAATGGTAGCAGCTCCTACCATGTACCGAATGGTTACCATGTGCCAGACACTCTACTTCCGCCATACTGTCTGATCCTTATACCCCACTGAGGGAGGGACTATCTTTATTCCTGTTTCATTGATGGGGAAACTGAGGTTCAGAGAGGCAAAGTGACTTGCTTAAGATTGCACAGCTAGGAAGTGCTAGAGGTGAGATCCAAACCCAGGTCTGCTTGATTCCAAAGCCCATGGTCTTTCCACTGCACCATGCCACCTTTCTGGGACGGGGGAAAGGGAAGGGAAAAAATAAGTCAGGAAAGAGGTGGAGCATGGGGTGGGGTGGAGGGGAGGGGAGGGAAGGAGAGAAAAGAAGAGACCCGAGGAGAGAAGAGAGACGTTTAGGGCCTGGGTGAGCTATCCCCAATTCTCCTTCTCAATCTACGGAGATGAGAAGTTCATCATGAGAACGGCTTTGAGAAAGAGGACCCACCACCTGGGTGCTAGTCAGTGTGTAGAAACGGAGGTCATTCTGCTGGCACCCAAGGGCTTATCCTCTTGTCTAAGACGTCAGATACTCTCGGCCTGGAGGCAGCAAATAGCCCTCTTTCTCAGCTCGTCTGGGTTCCCTTACAGCTATTAATCAAAACAGGAGCCGCCCTCCAATTACAAAATGGCTTTTCAACCAGGGCAAGAGCCCAGCCTGAGGGGCAGAAACTGCCTCCGGCTTCCCGAACCTCCCTTGGCGCCTACCGTCTTAACACCTGACGAAGACGGTGCTGCCCTCAGAAACCCTGTGGGACATGGGGCGTCATCACCCACACAGCAGACAGCCCCCCGAACGGCAAGGAATCACCCATCCCTAAACATGAATTCCCTCCAACTTGATGGGGGTGGAGGTTGGGGGACAGGGCCTATCTTCCCCAAGAAATCCTTCGCTTCCCCTGGACCCCAACTTAGAAGATGCATCCCGTTTGCCCCCCTCTGGGAATGTCCCTGGGTTGCTGCCTTGTCCCAGCCTCCTCCTTACAGATGCCTTTGCTCCCTCAGCTTAGCACTCGCTGAGCAACTCCTTGCTGCCACGCCTGTCCCCCACCCCTGGGCCAGCTCAACCGCCGTCCCCCAGCCCAACACTGTGCTGCGGCAGGAGCCCAACCAGGCCAGCCCTGCCTGCCCTGCACACATCACAACCCTAACCACCTCTGGGGATGGGTCTCCCCCGAGAGGCAGACTTTTTAAGTCTGTTCCAAATGGCCAACAGGCCCTGGACAGGAAACTCATTTGAGCAGCTAAATGACCAGATGCCCTCTCCCGTGCTGTCTGGAACCCACTTCCCAGCTCGGCCTGTGGGGCTTAGCTAAACCAGCTGAGTTTCAACGCTAGGCTAGGAGTTTCCTCAGAGTAGCGATCAGGTCTTCAGTTATTTCTAAATCTTTCCTCCACCTCGTATCCCTCCACATCCCAACAGCACCTAGCACGTGACCTTGCCCATAGTCAACAATCACGATTGGTAAGTGTTTGAACTTGACTGGAGTGTCCAGTTGGCTCTCTAGCCAAACTCTCAGGACTGGACTGGACTGGACTGCCCTAGGCTCTTACTGGTGCCCTGGGGATCATTGCTCCTAGGAAATGGTTAATGTCATCGCCTCCCCCTCCACCACCCTGCGCCCAAGTAAGCAAGTAACTAGTAGCAGCAGGTTTAAGAGACCCTCTTCCTGAAATCTTTTATACGTTAATGGAATGTTAAGACCAGAATAGTCCCCTACCACCTTCAGATGCAGAAACGGAGGTTCTCAAAGGAAAAGACTTGTCTAAGGTTTCACTGTGAGTTAGCAGCAGAGCTGGGACTCGGTCAGGCTTGTGGCTCCCAGACCCATACTCTTTCTGCGGCACCGCAATGCGTCTTCATTCGTGCAAAAACATGTTTACTGATTACCTTCTGAGTGTGAGGTCCTGGGCTGGGTGTGGGGAGGTGGTGTAACGCTTATCCCCAGGGCAGCAGACCTCACTCAAAGCTTCAGTGAGCATCAAAAGTGCAACAGGCAGATCGCCGGGCTCTGCCCGCAGAGACTCTTACTTAGTAGGGGGCACTCAGCCCTAGGAATCCTGACGACCCCACTTGGGGGAACCCCGCCCTATGATTTCAAAGGAAAACAAACTCCAAGCTTGCCAAAGGGTTGTAGGGACCAGGCTGTGCTTTTCCACTTGTTCCTTAGTCTTACTGTTTCCAATTCGGTTCAACCTATCCACATTTCACCATTTGTTTCAGAGTAGGGGAGGTGGGAATGACCAGATGGGAGTTGCCTCGCATGCTACAGTGGAAAGAACACGGCCCTGAGGGTCAAGAGACCCAGGTTATGGTCCAGGCCCTGCCACAGACCAGCGACGGGGCCTTGAGCAGCAGCAAGTCACTCCCCTGGGCCTGTTTCCTCATCTGTAAAATTGGGATACCAATTCCTGCCTCATAAGCTTCCACAGAAGTGGGAGGGGGGATTTTCTGAGGTAAGTATGCAAGCGCTTTGCAGGAAACATAAAGTGGTATTTGAACAGGAAGAATTATTACACGGGTGGAGGGTGACAAATTCCTCCCGGAAAGAGGGTCAGTTTGCAATTCGGGATCTCGTGCCTCCTTCAGAGTGCACAGTTCCTGGAGACCCCCCAAGGTCTGCCACCAGGCTAGCCCGGGTCACTCAGCTAGGCCCTGGCCAGAGGTGGTGGGCGGGGGTGGGGGGGTGGGCAGGGTTGCTACACCTGGCTACAGTTTGGTCTAAGTTTGGTCTAAGCTCCACGGCTGGAGAGTTGACTCTCGACTTTCAATCCGGGAAAGAGCACGGAAGGATGAGCTGGTGGCTCCCTCACCAGGCAAAGGTCGGAGCCTCTGGCTCCATCTTGGCGGCTTAGAGTTTCTCCTGAGGTGTCCCAGAGGGAACCACTGGCTCTGTCTTTGGCACACACTTTAGGGTGGACTTTGGGGCTGGGAAGGTTGGAAGAAATGGGGTTGCTGCTTCTGCTCTGGACCTGCCTTAGGCCACCAGAGCCTCCCTGAAGAGCAGCCGGGACCCTCGGACGAGATGGAGCTTATGCTTGCTCACCGACCGCCCCCTGAGCCTGGGCTACTTGAAGGAAGGCTGGGTCCTCGGGGGCAAGGGCAGGTGGGCAGGCAGCCCTCCCTCTCTCTCTCTCTCCCTCCCCGCCGGCTCGCTACCTACCTCCTTTCCTACAAATTTTCTTGTTGGGCTTTCGGGCGCATTCCTTGGAAATCCGCTTTACTGTAAAATGAATAAAAAACTAAAAAATAACAGGAGGCCTCTGCCCAGGGGCATGCACCCGCACCCCCCCAGGCCCCAAGAGCTGCTCTGCAGGTGGCACGTGGCAGAGAGCCTGTCCCACCATCTCCTTGCTTCTGTCACTTACCTTAGTGTGACCCCGCGGGAGGAGGCATCAGCTAGTGAAAGAGGAGGCACCTAAGCACTGCCCACCAGGCTTGCCCCCTGCCCCCCCCCCACACCCAGCTCCCTTGGCCACACACACCTACCACCTCTCCGAGCAGGTGGAATGGCAACAGGGGGGCCCGGTGGCGCCAGCATCCTCCCACGGGCAGCTGCCAGCAGTGACCCATACTCCCCCAGGGAACCCCCATCCAGCACCTGGCCCTAGACCTGTCAAAGCTCTCAGGCCTGGCCAGGCCCCTCCTGGTAACAGTGTCACTCACACATGGGAGCTCAGACAATGCTGGGAGAGGAAAGAACAGGGAGGAGGAAGGGGGAGGCCAAGCAGAGTGATGGTTAGAAGCATTTTCACAGACAGATAGATGCATGCAGCAGGGCACACCACCACATGCCAGCCACAAACACAGCGGGGCGGGTGGGAGGCAAGGAGGGCACAGTGCCTGGCCGCACTCACCATCCTCCGTGGGCACATAGACGTTCAGGTAGAGGCAGTCTTCGTTGGGCTCCTGAATGTAAGTAGCGACGATATCCAAGTTGGCCGTGAACCAGACAGGGAGCATGACTTCGGGCACAGCTGTGTGGATGTTCTGGGGGCACACTGGGGGAAAGTGTGTGGCGTTCCGGATGCCCGACCAGGATGGGGGTGGTTCAGGGGGCAGGAAACGTTTCTCGCCGATGGGGGGGGCTGCGTAGGGCACCCCAAGGTATTGGTCCACAGGCCCCAGGATCTCACTGGGCAATGGTACCCGGGCACCCCTTAGCTTCCCAAAGTGAGTATTGACTGTGGGTGCTGGGGCCTGGGTACTGGCCCTCAGCACCAAGCTCAGGAACCACAGGGTGAGGCACAGTCTCCGGCCAACTGTGGGCTTGGGGCTCAGGGACAGCGAGGGCAGGCCAAGCCGCAGCCACATGTTCCGGGCCGGGGGACTGGCAGGAAAGGCAGACTCCGGGGTCACAGCATCAGCCCAATAGGCAGCCCCTTCATGGCCACACTGACTTGAACCTCAAAACTGAGCTCTCGAGGGACACCTACAGGTGCCCGGCAACGTAGAGAGCAGGTCTTCCGAGCACCACAGCTTCAGAAAGGGGGCTCCCTCAGGGCCAGACAGGCCTGTGGAAAGAGGGAAGTATGCGTCATCCAAGATGGTCGCGGAGTACTATGGAGTGGGTCTTTGGGGCCCTGTTGTGCTTGGGCTACTCTCCTACAGTTAGGAGAGGTTTCCTATGCCCGGGGTTCCAGGGACCCTCAGACGATCTCCACTGCCAGTCAGAGCCATTTGCTGTGTCCGGGCCATGGTTGGAAAAGCCAAGGGGGTCGACAGATTGACAGTTGTTGCCACTGCAAGTTGCCAGTCCCCGACTTCAACTCCTCAGCCAATGGAGCTCATCGGGGTCAGCTGGAACCAGAGTAGCATACGGTAGCAGGCGATGGGAGAAGAGGAAATGGAGCTCAGGCTCCTGGGCACGCTGCGTGGACACTGAGCTCCTAGCCCCCCAAGACCCATGACCCCACACAGGGACCTCAACCTCAGGAGACGGTAGGATTGTGAACCTCACTCCGGGACTAAGGCAGAAGAAGGGAACACAGCAGATAGGCAAAGGGGCCCCCAGAGAGACCCCGTCTCCCTCTGGCAGGGCAGGGGGCAGGACAGCCATCCACCAGAGTCCCCAGACCCTCCTGTACATTTCTCAAAGCCCTCACTGCTCCCACATCCTTAAGCCTTGGTCCTTTCTGTCAGCTATCTCTAATTCACATGGGGTGCCAGAGACTGAGGCAGAAAGCGTTCTGCCTAGCACCCTAGGCATTGTTGATGCTCAGCCAGTGTAAAATAAACAGCAGAGTGCGGGGGACACACTCAGAGACTCACAGAAAAAAACTCACAAACACTCAAAGAGGGAGTGAGAGAGCACGGGACCACAGACACCGTGATGTTCACTCACAGAGACATACATTTCAAACCCACAGAGATCGCCTCATATAGTCTCACATTCTGAGACAGAGAGCTTCACAGAGCCAGAGACTCACAGAGAGATACATTCGGAGACACATGCAGAGACTTACTGAAACATAATCACACACACATTGCATAGGTAAATATCCAGAGACACATGCAGCATAATGGTGACACATAGGTGGAGACAGAAACAGAAACAGCAACACACTCGAGGCACACAGGCCTTCTGACAAAACAGTTGTACAGTCAACATATATACACAGGCACACACAGACACTTCCGCATGGACACACACACACACACACACACACAATTTAGTTTCCCCCTATTTCTCCCGCCTTCCAAGATTGTGGGCCTGCTCCTTTAAGAACTGGCTGAAGGGGTGGGGGGAGGGAGATTGGGAACGCCCGGCAAACGGCCACCGAAAGAGGGGAATGAGAATGTGTGTGTGTGTGTGTGTGTGTGTGTGTGTGAGAGAGAGAGAGAGAGAGAGAGAGAGAGAGAGGGAGACAGAGGGAAA